AACATATAAATAACTTATATGGGCAAAAATTTCTGAAAACAATATTGGGTCAAAAAAAGCTCGCCAAGCAGTATTGCTATTATTAGATGAACCAGAGCCACCTGGATTTGTCTACGTGTAAATTGGGTTTGTCTACGTGTAAATAAGTTTTTTTCAATTTTTTTTTTGTATAATTATATATAACTATATAAAAAAAATATATATTTTTACATAACCTTTATTTATTTTTCCTTTTGCCTGCCATTGCTTAATATTCAATTTGTACAACAAATGAAGGATATCTTCCATGAAACGGATCCAGCATTGAAGTGGACTTACTCCAAATAGTAAAAACGCTTTCTCAGTGTTAAAGAGTTTGTTTATGTAGTTTTAATTGACTCACTTCAGTAGGTGTTGCTTAGCAAAGCGGACACAATTGATAAGACGGTGTTTCAATGATTTCCGCTTAAAATTTTCCGTCGATGGCTGTTAAAAATAAAGAGCTTTGGATATGAAGAACTTTTCCATTTGGTAGCCATATTATAGTTTCAGAAAGCTCATTTATTTGTTGTTCAACAAAAAACTTTGTTTTGAGAATAAGTTTTTTACTTTCTTTAGCGTACTTTAAGATCATTGGTCTGCAAAATCTAACAGAATTAGAAGTTAGGTTTGCCCAAAACACTTCCCAGTCATATGTTTGAAGTCTTAAGGGTACAATTGCAACAGAAAAAAGTGAGTCAGATGAACTTTCAAATAACTCATCAAACTTTTGATTGAAATGGGAAAAATTACTGGCTCCATCAAATCCCCAATTTAGAACAAAAATCAACTCAACTGAATCCTTTTCTTTATTAGTAATTTTAGATATAATTTGTGCCTCTTGTGATTCTATTATTCTTTGAACAGGTTTTATTAGAAGATTATGTAATGGCATATTTGCCATCAGAGATGTGCATATTATTTGGTCTGCTTTTTTTTTAGATTCCAGAACATTGCTGTAAAGCAGATAATTATCTGCACCTCTCTCTTTACTTTCCAATCTTATCGCCTTGTACTGAGATTTAGTAAAACCATAATTAAATACAAAAGCAAGTCTCTCTTCTGGAGACATCTTTTTTATATCTTTTTCAATGCTTTTATTGATATCATATGGCAATTGTTGTAGAATGCACATGATAATTTTTTCTAAGTTCTTATTACCTATTTGTTTGGCTGTGTATCTTACTGCATTGAGTATACTCTTTGTATCATATTCAACTTTTTCAGACATATTAGAAATTGCTATTCTTTTAGCTCGTTTCCTTTGTCTTTAAAAGGTGATGTATATTGCCCTTTCTTTAATTCTAGCGTTTCTTATTGGTTTAAGAGTTTCTAGATAAGTTCTTTAAAATTATGTTCTAACCAGGATATTGACGGTTTATGAAATTTATATTTGGAGTATTGAACATCCTTCATTTTTTGTTTGTAAGTGGTTTTTAATGATAATAATTCTTTTTCTTGAGCACCTTCAACTTTCATAACATTCTTCTTCTCCAAAAAATTAAACACTCTGACATTTTAATAACATCACCAGTTACAAAATAAATAAAATATTTATTCTTTAAATTCATTTAAGACGATTAATACTTTATCATTTATTTACACAATTTTAAATCGACAAACAATTTTTTTGTAAATTCTTTCAACTTGCTGAAGCTTTTGAGGTTTAATTAATTTAAAGGTAGTATTTGGAGGTTATATTAATAGTAAGTCTTAAAATTACCACAAATATATCTTTTTATGACAATATTATGCAATTTAATAGAAAATGACAATGTTTTATGTAAAAAAACACAAACAATTTAAGAAGAAACATTTTTAAATTAAAAATAGTTGTTCTTGGGCGGGTCCAAGCAGCATCAAAACCTCTATTGGATTAAAAGAAAAAAGGTCAAAGTTTCAGAATTTTACAGAAACATACAGAATTTAATAAAAGTCACATTGGTATTATTTCCTAGTCTAAAAAATTATCTTTCTCTGCATTTTTACAGCATGAAATGTACTTTTATAAAATATTTTACATTTAAGTCTGAAAGCCTGTTTAATATTCTTCCGATTGATATAAAATATATGGAAGTTCACAAGTATGGTTTAAAAATTTATGGGGTAGTGGTGTAGTGGTAAAACACTCGCTTCATAAGCGAGAGGTTCCGAGTTCGATCCCCTGGTAGTACCGCGCTCAACTTGTTTCTCCGCGGAGCGGCCTTGTTCATCAAGGTTCAAGTAGTCTAAAAAAAAAAATTCTTTCAGAACTCAAAAACTAATTTGCAACAATCTTGCATATTGAGAACTTTTTATATTGGATTTTCGCAATTCTGGAGTTAATTCCACTTTTTGATTATTTCAAACCACTGTGCATTGTAATGACAAGAGTATATAGTTAATGATTTGCAATTTTAATTTGTGCCGATCCTTTAAAAAATGCCCATAAAAACTCAAAAAATGTAAAAAGGTTTAAAAGTGTGGTGCAAGTATAGTGGAGCAAGTATAGAGTGGTGCAAGTAATGTTTAAAAGAGTGGTGCAAGTCATCTAAAATAAAAAGTAAAAAAATTTCATAAAGAAAATATTACGTTAGAAACATTTTGAAACACTCCGTGTACTAAAATTTTTTGAGGATAGTCAAAATGATATGAACTTTTAAACACATTAACAATATGTTTATTTAGTTTTTACAACCGTAACCTAGAAGGTTACTAAGATCTTAGAATGGCAAAATTTGGGTTTACAATATACAAAAATTCTAAAACTATATACTTTCATTGAAAAAGACAAAAATACTAGTATAAACAATGTATTTTTAAAATATTTTATTAAATATTTATAATACAACATTATTATGCAACTATGCTTACAATAGCTTACTATTATTTACAATGTTCTACTATACTATCACTATGTTCCACTATACTAGACATTCTATGTATTTAAATTAATTTTGAAATTTAACATATTTTCACCATCTTAGAGGATTCTAATGATGTTTATCTATATATACAAAATTTTCTTCAAAAATCTTCAGAATTGATATATATTAATTATTTAATTCTCATAGGTTATTTTTTAACCAGAAAATTGTGTTACTGAAAATTTTCAAAATTTGATATCCAACAACCAATCAAATCAATAGTTTTACAATTATCAACCTGAACTGATTTATTTTTTTTTTTTGAATAATTTCAGTTTCATAACTTGTTTATGTGCTTTTGTACTTGTTAAATTAGATGAAATATTGGAAACATATTTTGGTAGTTGTGTAGTGGTAGAGAACGAAAAATTTTTTTTTGAGCATTTAGGAACAGTCACAGAAAATAAATGAAACTTAAATGAGTGACAAGTAACCTGAGAATGAATTTTAGTGGATGGCATAAGAGACATTAACTCTGTAGAGCAGCGCCCATAGTATTTATAGAAAAGAGAAAGATCTAACATTAAGATAATGTGACAATGGTTAAAGGTTGGCTGCAAGAACACGCCCAACTGTTTACAACGCATTTTTGCACCTCGTCTAAAAGAAAAAAAGCCATCATTCATTCAAGCACAGATAAGATATTTACAGAATCCGGAGTAAGAAAGTGGCAAACACATTAAAAAAAAAATGCAACCTTGGCAGATGCTAGTTTTACAATGGACTAGATAAATGATTTCCAAGAAAAATCGAAAGTCAGAGTTAAGACAAAGGGTATATGACTTATACCCTTTGAAAAATTGAGTTTTATCTAATTTAAAGTTCACCAGCCATTGAGAACCCCGTGCTGTAGCAGAATTAAAATCCTTATCATGCCCAAATGCTTCTTTTTGCTGTTTTGCTTTTCAGAACCAGAATCATTTTTATTTCCTCTTGTAGCTGACAAATGTTAATTCCAATTTAAATTTTCAATTATTAAATAAATAAATAAATAAAAAATTATAATACTTGATAATGGTCTAGATTTATTTTCATGTATATAGCTATACTTTAGTTTAGTGCGTTTTTGATATGCGTTATATACATTCACTTAAGAATGATAACTGTTAATGATAATCCAAATAGAATTATACTAATCATTAACAATTATCTAAAGGGAATTGTTGAAATAATAAAACTGTCTATAATTGTCCAAAAGGAAACTGTTAAAAAGTTAAACTGTTTAATCTAATTGAAATGAAAACATGTTTTTTAAATCAAATTTTTTTAATGTTATTGGCGGCTCTAAAATTGATGGCCCTAGGCTGCCTTGTTTGCCTAAGTAGACAAACTATATTTTCATAAATATATAATAATACTTTTAAATGATTTCCATATTTCCCTCATAACTTTAAAATCTTTGACAACATTTTAAATAAGCAAACTTTTTAAATAACATATAATGATAATAAAAATATAATAAATAATAATGATAATAAAATAAAAAGATATTTTTTAAATAACTTAAACATCAAATAACAACAATCTATAAAAAGATATTTTTTAAATAACTTAAAAATCAAATAACAACAATCTATAAAAAAATATATTTTTTAAAAATTTCAAGATTTGATTTAATATAATTAAAATTGTTTATTTTAATAAACATACTCATGTTTTCATTTGTATATTTTAATAAAATAACTTTTATCATTAAATAAACTCTATTATAAATTTATAATGTAAATTTTAACCAAAAAAATATTTAATGTGTTTTTATCGAAACACATTAAATAAATTTATTATGACACCAAACTAATTTAAACCAATAGGTTTTGTAAAAACAGATTGCTCATGCAAAAAGCTAACTAGGTAAGCAGCTTTCTTGGCTCGTTAAGTCCTTTTTACATGAGCTTTTCATGTAAAAGCTTGCACACTCATTTAGTCATGCTATGGCAGGACTAAAATGAGACATATAAATAGATTCAGTAGAAAGCACAGAAATATAAAAATAACAGAAATAAAAATTTGTCAATAAACAAAATATTCAAAGTTTTAAAAAACTCTTTTTTTTTTTAACTATATAAATTTGTAAACCTCTTCTAAGCTAAATAGTACTCCACCAATAGGTGCACCAAAAGCTACAGATACACCAGATGCTGCAGCTGCAGACAAAACCTGAAAATAAAAGAAACTCTGATCAAAATAAGTTAAATAATTTTGATACAAAAATTAAAATTAATTGAAAACAAAAGTTTTTATAACAAAATTGAGTAACTTTAGTGACCTCTCTTCGCTTAGCTTCATTTCCATGATATTTTGGGAATAACCTTACAATGACATTTCCAACACATGCACCAATGTGCACCATTGGACCTTCCATTCCTAATTTCAATCCAGTGGAAACTGAAAAAATTAATGCCACACTCTTTATTAAAAGTGTCCACCACCCTAAAAATCCCTTGATCACAAATCCTCCCAAAATTGTTTTTACCTATAAAAGAAAAATAATTAGTTAAAAGTAGCAAACCATATCATTTAATAAATCTTTTTTAAATTAATTCATTTATATATAAAATTTTATACTTCATAAATTAAAACTTTAAAAAACAAATGGTCAAAAATAACTTTATAAACAGTAGATATCAATAATAATAAGAACCTCAGCTATGCCTGAACCACTTGCATAGGGAGCAAAAAATCGTACGAGAGAAACAGAAATGCCAGAAAACAAAAGTGCAGAAAATACATAACAAAAAAAATTGAATATATAGGATTCACGCTGCGAAAAAGTATTCAATTTAAATATATCAGACCAAGGCAGCCATTCTTTACAACCGTCAATAGATAATTTACCAACTTCAGCATTCCAACAGCAAGTTTGTTTGTTAAATAAAATTTGGCTTTTACATACGCCTTCCTTCAAATCTGTCACCCATTCAGATGTAATCACAATAATGCTTCCAAATAAACCTGTTGTTACACCAACAATGAATACTATTAACCATCCAGATAATGCATCATAGAAACCCTAAATACAATATATTAATCACAATTATTAAATACATATAATAGAGTTAAAACAATTAAATATTAATGTTGTATAACCTTAATGTTATATATATTAATGTTACAAAATATTAATATTATATAAATCTTATGATTATTAAATAAAAATTTCTACAGTATTTCAATCAGTCATGAGATTACATAAAAATTGCAAAAAGTAATAACAATTTTATATAATGATCATTAATATAAAAACTATTCTTTTAGGTGTTATTGCATTTTATTAAAAAAAAAAAAAAAGTTAACCTTTTCATTGTTTTTTGGTTGGCATTAAAACTCAGTCTCAAAAGTAAACCAGGTTGTAAAAGACACACTTCATATTTAAGGAAACTTGTTTTTTGTTTTCAAAATGTTTCCTCATGCTTGAACATGAATGTTTGTTATGATTGAATAGTTGAACTTTCTGAAACTTTTATTAAAACAAGTTGCATTTCAATGTTCTAAATTACTTATTATTGCGACTAGTATAACAAATACTTAAGTCAAGATATTATGGAGTTTGCAACTAGTATAATGAATTTTTAAGATATTATGGAGTTTGTAACTAGTATAATTGATACTTAAAATATTATGGAGTTTGTAATTAGTTTAATGGTTATTTAAGATATTATGGAGTTTGCAAGTAGTATAATGAATACTTAAAATATAATGGAGTTTGTAATTAGTATAATGAATACTTAAGATATTATGGAGTTTGTAACTAGTATAATAGAAACTTAAGCCATAATATTATGGAGTTTTTTTAATATTGTTGCTTTTATTGCAGTTATTTTTTTAAATTATTTAATCTAATTTTTTTTAATAAACAGTAATACAAGCAAACTTAATGCTAATAGTGTTATTACTCAGTGACGTAACTTTTTTCTTTTTGAAAGTATCAAATCAAGTAGTCAACATCTGTTTAGTTTTTAATATTTTAAACTTCATAATGAAGGAAATAATTTCATAGAAAATATTTGTAAAAAATCTTTGATTTGTTTTTTTAATTAATTCTTTAATTTATAATTTACATTTGCATAAAATAATTAGAAACATCATATAAACTAATTAACTTGAATATGATGCAAAATGCAACATAAAACCATATTAAAATTATGGATACTATAAAATGATTTATAATTTTAATCAAAGAAACAAAATAAATAACAAAAAACAAAAATTACAAGTATGTGCACTTCCACCTAACTTATTTCAAAACAATTAATATATATATATATATATATATATATATATATATATATATATATATATATATATATATATATATATATATATATATATATATATATATGAGCAATTCCCCAAAAAAGAGGAAAAAAAAAAAAACCAAAAGATATGAAAACACATATTAAACTCCATTCTTTAAGGAGATATAGAAGCAGATGAAATATATTATTACAAGACTAATTTCAAATGGGTTCAATTGTTGTAGTGTCCGATTTGCATTATTTTTTATGCTGCATCATTTTTTAATAAATTTAAAATAGTTGTAAATAATGATCCAAAATATTTCAAGATTTCAGTTTCGACGATAAAGATCTAGAGATTTTAACTCAGAACAATTGGATCAAATCGCAAGACAGGCCCAAGTTTTTAAAAATAATGTTAAAACCCTGCAAATCAATTATATATATGCTAGCCACCAAATTATCAAACTTCTCTAACTACTGTAGTTATAGTAGAAAAAACATTTTTTAAAAAATGTAAAAAACTTGTTTTTGAAAAGTTTCTGGTGGTAAATTTTCATTAGAGAATATTCTAAATGTTCCCAATAAAAAATATTTTAAATGGGAAAAAATAAACATCAGTGAAATATCCAGCAGTTACTTGAAAACATTAGTTTTCTTTTTTCTTTTTTTTTTACTTTATGGTAAAAAAACTTAAATATTTACAAAAAATCTTTGTTTAAAAAGATTTTCATTTTAGATGTTTATAATATCAATTCTAAAACATTTTTCTAAAGATTTTGTAGAAATGACTTAATATACAGACTTATTTATAATTTACAGACTTAGGTAATTTACAGGCTCATACTTAACTTAATGAACTTAATCAGAAATCGAAAACATTTTATGAAAAAATGTTTATAATATAATGATGAAAAGTTACAGCACTAGACACTTCCATGCTGATAAATATTAGAAACACAATATGTCAATGGTTATGATGTTAGTGCATTGAATTGGCATTTAAATGTGTTGATTGAAAAGGCATTAATGATTCTTGAGGGCAGAGCATTCAATGCTTTAACTATGCAGTTTGTGAAAAAATTATTTCTTTCTTCACATTTCTTCATAAATGGCTTAGTTAGCCTTAAATTGTAGTCATAAAGGTTGTACTTGGAGAACATTTGGATGTAAATTTAAGAAACATCAAACTCAATTTTCTCAATACCATGTACAACTATGCATTGCTGTATCAAGTCACTTGTATCAAGTCACTTGCATCAAGTCACTTGTATCAAGTCACTTGTATCAAGTCACTTATAGTTTTTTTTTGTCTTCAACTTTGGTTAGGTCTAGAGTTTTCTTTCTTTATAAAATATTTTAATCTCATAAAATGTTTTAATCTCATTAATCAATAAAGTTACTTAATCTCTATGCACATTACTGAATGCTTTCTAGCGCTTTGATGTCACCTTCAGATGTAGAAACTTGGACTTGAGTTAAATGTGTGGTCTAACACATTTGTAGTGATTTTTCTAGTTTCATTTTCAGGCAAATTCCTTATTTTCCTTTTGTTTAAAAAGTTCATTTAAATTTTTATTTAATAACAAAAAATAAGTTAACATCAACAACAAAAAAAGGTTAAATTTTATTTTATATTGCTATTTCTGATACTTTATACATTTTGTTTCGTTTTTCTTAAATTTTTTCTAATATTTATATTTTTTGTTTCCTTTCCTGATACTTATATATTTTGTTTTGTTGTAATGATTAATATTTTTGCTTGAAAAACGCAAATATTACAAGCTTAAAGCAAAGTGATATAAAATATATACAGTTAATTCCCGGTAAGTTGAACACCGATTAACTTGCACTTTTATTATCTTAAACTGTTTCATTTGTTCCCTAGAAACCACATAACTGATTACTAATAAAAATTTTCGGTTAATTTGAACCTCAGATAACTTGAACATTGTTAAGTCGAACCACTTTTTTGTCCTCTTTCAGCATCTTTGTCATCTCTTCAGATAACATACACTTTTTGTATGGGAAGAAATTAAAAATAACTTTTAAAAAAAAAATATTACATAACTATAGCCTAATAATTTTTTATTTTTTTTTTATTTTTTATTTAGATCTAAATAAAACTATTAAAACAATTATTGTTTAGTTTTAATGAATTTCTAAAAAGATTATTGTATAGTTTTAATGAATTACTGAATAAAATTGCTAGCATTTAACGGTAGTAATTTTATTCCCAAATAATAAAAAAGTCATTGTTTTACTAAACTTTTGAATTTTTTGATTGCACTTTTGAACATAATCTGTAATTTCTTTAATTGAAACATTTTCATGCTTTTATTAGTATAACAGTGTAAATTTAATATATATACTTTAACATTAAAAAAAGAAAAGTTGCCTCAACTCGAACTAATATCCCATATCAGCCAAAGTTAATGGGTATTTGCTTTAGTCAAACATTTGTCATTGGTTCTTTAGAGCCATTTTCCTTGGTTCTTTGGAGGTTCAAGTTATCAAGAATTAACTGTATTTAAGTTTTATAGATAATAAATTTAAAGTTTATGCTTAGGCTTAATTTTTGTCTAATTTTTAATTTTTTTTTAAATTAGCTCATTTTTATCACAATACATTCTTTTTTAACTAAAAATTAAAATTCCTGTAAATGAATTTCAAAGCTGCATCAAAAAATTGAACAAAACGCACAGTAATTGCAGTAGTTAAAAAGTATTACTGTCCTTAAAAAAATTTAAAATAAAGAGAATTTTATGACAGCAAATTCACATTAGGCTAATGCTTTAAGCATTTTTTAATTCAAAAGGAAGCTCGCTATTGCCCAGGTGTCTTCTTTTTCAAGCACTAATGTGTCATTACTGTGTAGACAATAAATGCAACCTAAGAGATTTCACTCACTGCCTAACTATATAATTCACCATATTTGCAATGTCTAATATCCGTATGTCCAATGAGTTCAATTGCATTATGTCTGTTTCATTTTTCATATATCTGGCATATCGTCTTATATATGTATTTCCACACCTCCTCCCCTACCTCCTCTGTTTTTGTTGTGTATTTAGTGGCTTGGTTGTCAAATGTTTGAGGTGTTGGTGAACCACAACCCTGCAAAGAAGAACAAGTCCTGTTTGTCTGCTGATTTTTCTATGCTTATTCTTGCCATCAGTTCATCTCATTTGGAACCATTCAGTGAGTGCAAATTATTTGCCTAGAAGTTGAGTTGTTTGCAATTGGTTTTATTAGTGGTGGCAAAGGATTGAGGATTAGGTATGTTAAGCAGTGTTACTGAGATTTAGGCTTGAACCGTGCTTACCCTGGCGGTAGAGGTTGTATTGTTGTTGTATTTTATTGTTGCTGGCAGTGGTACCTTATTTGATTTTATCAAATCGATCTTTGTTGATCCTCTTAGACTTCTAGTTGTTATTGGATTTTTTAACATTGATGAATCACACAGATCTATCACCTCTCTTGATGATCTAGCAAAAGGGCCTATCCAGTTTAGCTATTTCAAGCTCTTTATTTTTTCACTTTTTCTTTTTAAATAGTGTTGATGGCATCTTGTTCAGCCGGAGTTGAAACTTCACCTGTGTAGACTCAAGCATATTCATTTTTATTGTGGTAGTTACCCTTTCTTTGTGTCTCTCATTGGGTGATTGCAGATTAAAGTACAACTTGGAGGACCCCTGTTGGCTCTGATGTGTTTTGATCACCACTTTAAGAGCTTTCAGTCTCCTTCCTCTCTTTTTGTATTGATAGACAAGTATAATTTCATCTTTGCTCACTTCAATGGCATCCTTGATGATCTCTTTGACGCTTCTGTTTCTTGATTCTTTAAGCCATATGATGATCATACAGCTTAAAGAATCATGACATTTGACTCTCGTTTTTTCTCTTTGTTTTGGCTTCTACTAAGTTGATGATAAGGTTCTACACTGTGATGTCAAGAAAGGATGGCTTACCATTTGTTGTTGTTGTATTTGCTGCTGAAGGACTGTCATCCAAGGTGTCGACTTGCTCATATATGGTGTTGATGTCATTGCCATGCTGTTGCTTTTTTTTGATTATTCTTATTCTTGCAATATTAAAAAAATTTTCTCTGTCTTATTTAGTTATTTTAATCACTATTTATTGGTCAACAATTTTAGTTGAATATCTGCCGAAACAGTAGCTAAACTATAGTTTAGGCAGATTTTTTTATTGAACCTGGTTTCAAGATAACGTTACCTGGATACGCCACTGATTTTAAATATAAACTACTTAGTATAATATAAATATTTTATAACAGCAATAAGAATAGTAATAATAATAACAATATTAATAATATACATACATACTTACATTTTTACTATATTACATACTGACCTTAACTTTGTTCAAAGTATTTCCTTCATTCTTTAGTTTTGAAACTTTGCGTAATCGCATTCTATCTCTCATGCGATCTCTTGACCAATCGATTGTGTGAAAATCATCATACTTACTGAGATCATCAGCCTCTGCTTTATACTCACACAAATCATCATAGAGAAAACTTTTAAATGCTATTAACTGCTCTTTTTCACTATTTTGAAACACCTCTGTAATACCATCACCATTAATGTCTGCATTTGCCATCATCTCATTGATACATGTAAACCAAATTTCTTAAAAAATTATTGATATGTTGAGCTTTACCTTAACAGTTCTTTTTGCTTATAGTTAAAACCAAGCAGATAATGTAGAGCATGGATAATTTTCAAAATAGAAATTTTACTAAAATTTAAAAAAATATTTTCAATTTAAAATAACATTGATTAAAATAATGATGCCATAACTTAATAAAATCTAAAAGCTTGTATGTAAAATATTCAACATTATAAAATTGTAAATATATTAAAATCAATGATATCTTTGCTGCAAAACAGTTATATTAAGTTCATTTTTGGGAAAAATAACTTTTTGAGTTTAAAATATTCCTTAAAAAAAAAAACATCTAAAAAAGTATGGAACCAAAAATGATTAAATTTTTGCCTCTATGAATAATTCAAACATAGAAACAATACAATAACCAATTATAATACTTTATATACTATAATTTTATGCATACATAAATTATATATATATATATATATATATATATATATATATATATATATATATATATATATATATATATATATATATATATATATATATATATATATATATATACAGCTATTCACAAAAGTTTAATCGAGTAATTTTAATCAAACTTTTCAAAGTTTTTTTAACCAAAAAAAATCAGGAAAAGGAATTTAATTATTTTTATTTTTAAAAGAACAATCTATTAACTATACAATTAACATTAATAAGATAGTTGAAAAAAATTATTCAAAAAAATTAAATAAATAATTATACAATCATAAAATGAGCATAAAAGTTTAATTGAGTTAAGGTTTAGAACACAAAAAATTAAAAAAAAAATACAAATTTAAAATTTAAAATACCCTCCTTTGGCTCGATAGCAAAGAAGAACTCGCCTCTGCATTAATTCGACCAATTTAATGTGGCACTTTTAACTAGTACTTGTTCAAAAGCTTCGAATGCTCAGTTGATTGAATTTGATGGTTCACTAATTGAATGTTGATCTATGACCAAGAATTTTTTATTGGGTTGATATCTGGTGATCTAGGGTACCAAGGCAACAAATTGATCTTTTTGTGGTAAACCAGTTTGTTATACTATGTGCTGTGTGTGCTGGAACCCCATCTTGCTGGAAGATGTATTGCTTGCTTCTGCCATACAATCGCCTTGTCAATAGAATCAAACATGTTTCAAGTGTTTGTGTAGGTATATTGGTTAATATGACCATTATACAGCTCACAAAAACCAATGCCTTAGTGAGAAAAATATCCCTATATCCCTAATGAGCCTCCACCATCTTGTCATCTTGCTTGTAAATAGTGCCACAATATTTCTCAATTCCAAATCTTTTAACGTATATTCTTCCTTTGCGGTTCAAAACCTGAAAAATTGACTCATTGCTCCAAATCACTTTTGCCCAATCTTCAACTGCCCAATGCAAACGTTCTTTGCACCTATTTCATTTTTTGCGTCAGTCCATGATTGACAGGATAGGCTCTCTTAATGCAATGTAAGACCCAATACCTTTTTTTGCTAATGTTCTTCTAACAAGTTCTTTGCTTACATTTCTATTACAAAAGAACTAGTTGAATACTTGAGCTAGCTTTTTGTTGCTGAGCCTAGGATTTTTTTTACTGGTTCTGAATATGCTACTTTTGTCACAGTCACTAAGCTTCAGTGGTCTTCCAGAACAAGGCATATCAACAACATAACCTGTTAGCTCCCAGGTTTTCACTGTTTTTTGCACGTAAAATTCAGAAACACCCACAAGTTTACTAATTTCAACATTGGTGTAAATCTTTGATTTAACAAGTCCATTTGATGCTCTCTGGCACCTCTTTTCTACCCATTTGCATGCAAATTAAAATTTAAAATATTCCAGTTATTCTTTAATATTTTATTGTAATTTTAAAACTATTTTTTTATTTAAGAATCTTGAGTACACTTTATATTTATAATATATAGCGGTAACTAAAGATAATAATTAGAGTGTGAAAAATGTAAAAATAACTCAATTAAACTTTATCTCATCAGTAAAATATATTGTATAACATTTAATTAGTTTTACGGAAGTAGTGTAGCATGTGTAATTTTTTTTTTTTTTGTCTATTTTATCGATACAAACATAAATAGCAAAACACAAAAATTAACTTTAAATCTATATCTGTTAAACTTTAATGCTAAAAAAACTGTCATATAGTTATGAAAAACTCTCAAATAAACTATTGTACATAGCTGAATATATATATATATATATATATATATATATATATATATATATATATATATATATATATATATATATATATATATATATATATCAACCCTCGAAATTAGGAAAAATGAGGTCGGCAAATTATTGCCGACCTCAATCTTTTTGAGGACGGCATCAGGTCGGCAAAAAATATTTGATACAAAGGTCTGGCCATAAAACATAGAAACGAGGTTGGCAATTTTTTGCTGCCCTTAAACATTTTCAGGTCGGCATTGCCAAATGCCGACCCTAATTCTAAGGATTGATATAAATATATATATATATATATATATATATATATATATATATATATATATATATATATATATATATATATATACATATATATATATATATATATATATATATATACTCACTTTTAACGAGGTTGCAAGCAATCATCACCAAATGTGAGTTACTAGAAACAAAGGATAGGGTTGAAAAAAAAGGAAACAACTTGAAATATGAGTTGTATGAGTCATGAAAATACAAAAATGAGAGTTTTGCGATTTTGTATTGCGAGGAAATTAGATAAAAAATTTTTATAGCATGTCCAGATACAATAATAAAATTCAAATTTGCTGAATGACAAGCCATGCAAGAATGAGTTTTGGTTTATCAAACTAGAGATGATAGCTTGCTTGAGCAGCCAACATGATAGTATTTGTAGAAAAAAGAAAGAGATGTAACCTTAAAACAATAGGAGAATAGCTCAAGCTTGGCAAATAAACCAGGTCCAACTGCATTTACATTGTGTTTTTAGACTTTGTCTGAAAATGAGAGAGTTGTTATTTGTCAATATTGAAAGGTCAACAATATTGCGATAGTTGTTTCCAGTAAATAATTTAGTTTTGCTGGAGTAAAAATCCTTAAGCCATAGCGTTTCCCATAGCTGTTGCAAGGACACGCCCCTGACGAGTGGCGTTAGTGCAAAAATTATTTATGTTATAGAGGAAAGATCAGATTAAAGATGGAC